CCGCTGCCACTCGACGAGTAGGGCAATCAACTCGTCGAGTAGCCCTTGAAATCAAGAACTCACACATTAAACCAATACCTGAGAATCGGGGCGTTACAGTTAGGCTATACTTACTATGCTTTAAGTGTATCTTATATTTATATTCATAGTCGTTGTTATGAATGTATAAATAGGATTTATCAGTAATTCCAATTATAATGCTGATTGATCTACTTACATGAGAAGTGTCTAGAATGGTCACGTTGACTTGGTTATTGGATTTTAGAAAGGTTGTATGCCGAAATGATCATGCCGACCGACTGTACGGCCTGACAAATCCTTATTTGATAGAACTCTCGGTATTCATTGGTATTAGCGATATATCTAACTTTCACTATCATATTTTCATAGGAACTGATAAGTTATAGTATTCAAGGTTAATATATGTTAGATGTGTTATCCGTTACGCCGGAGGGATATCTATCAATCGTATGAGAAATTCCCAGGTGAGTTCATCTCACTATATTATGTATTCTATTATATGTCCATGTAAGTTAGGATATAGGAGCTAGTAGAGTAGAGCCCGTAGTGTAGTTTCTATGTTCCTGTAAAGTCGAATGCGTAGTGTCAATATGTGTGATTGTTGGTATGTTTAAAAGTTAGTGAGGTTGATGGCAGAACGAATAGAGTACGGGAGCCTATAGACCTTCGTCTGTGTAGTTAGGGTCGATGGTGGAACGAAAAAAGTATGGGAGCCTATAGACATGCATATGTGTAATTAGGGTTGATGGCGGAATGAACAAAGAACGGGTGTCTATAGACCCACATAGATTTAGTTACCGGTAGAACGATAAAAGTACTGGAGCCATTGTTTGTACGCATGTATATGTATTGTGGTATATGGTATTTTAGGGAACTCACTAAGCCTATCGCTTACCCAGTTGTTATAAATATTTTCAGGCACTTTTTTGGTTCGTGAGAAGGGCAAGGTTCGACTGTACACACGTGCATTAGCAATATGTTTTTGCTAAATGTAATTATACTATGATATATCCATAAATAAAAATGAAAAATTTAGGTTGAAAATCGGGACGTTACACAAAATTAGTTTTTAAATTTTTGACTAAAACAATTTGTCGCCATCCGTGGGATGAGTGGTGTTATCACATCTTTTTCTTTAAAGTTACTTGAAAAGATTTTTTCAGATTTTCAATCAATTACACATCTCTCCACTTCTAGCACTAGTCCATCCATCTCTACTGGTCAAAGCCTACCCCCACCTCCCGCTATCAGCTGGCAAAGAAGTAATGTTGAAATCCCTAGAAGGATTGTTCCAACATCTTTAGCAATCCAATATTTAGGAGGTGCAGCCCAAGACATACCAATTATGGTCTCAAACAACGAGATCATATCCATGCTAAATAAAATGGAGCAACATTTCACTGAGCAAAGTGAAACCAACAAGATCTTGTTTGAAAGAATGAAAAGGCTATGTCCATAATCAAGAAGGCTGAAGGCCTATGGAAACTAAATCAACCCCATCTTCATTCTTGCAGCCCAGGATCCTGAACGTCGAAATCGGTGTATATTCATAATGCCAGGTCGAAGACTTCATATTAAGATAGGCGCCTATCTTCACAGATGGTGTAACCCTTAGCACGAGAAGTCCTCCCTCCCAAGATCTTAGAGGGATATTCAACATACCGTCTAATACCCAAGATCCTAGGATAAGTCTAATCATGGCAAAGGAACTCATGCAATTAAGAGATATGATCTCAAGTGTACCAGAAATCATTCAACCTATACCAGAGGTGTCACCTATCAGCCATAGGGTTTCAAGATTCGCACCTCTATCTATGACACTGAAGTTCCAGAAAGGTTTTAGACGCCCAACCTGAAGACATATGATGGAACCACGAATACTGAAGAACATGTCACCAATATAGAGAACACATGGAAATAGTTCCAATCTCCCAACATCTTAAGGGAGCTTGTTTATGCAAGGGCTTTGGTTCAACCCTTAAAAGATCTGCATTAAAGTGGCTCCTAAATGTCCCTCCTTACTCTAGTACTTATTTCACACAATTGGTTAACTTGTTTAATAATCAAATTTCTTGTAGTAGAACTTTTGAAAAATTAACAAGTGACCTTTACAGAGTAACTCAAGATAATGATGAGTCCTTGAGAGATTATGTTAGCAGGTTTGGGAAAGAAGCCCTAGATATCCCACATCTTGATGTTGCAATAGCCGTGGAAGCTTTCAAGATAGGATTAACAAAGATTCTTCATTCTACGAGAATATTTTCATGAACCAATGCAAGAAATTGAATGAAGTTAGAAATAGAGCACTAAGATTCATCAAGATGGAAAAGGATAAGAAGATCTAGAAAGGCCAACACGTCATATGATCATCCTAACAGGAAGAATGAGTCTTCATTCCAAAAATCCTACAGAGCTAAACCTTAATTAAGACTTGAGAATCATACGGTTAATTCTTTGGAAGATGAAGATTATCGTAAGATCTATGACTATTTTTTTTCTGTTATTGTCTCACGTATGCTCTATACAATGCAGGATCTTGGGGACAAAGCAAGATGAACCAAGAAATTTGATAAAACACCAGAATGGAAAGAGAAATCCAAATGGTGTGCTTATCATGAAGACTTTGGATATCTTACTGGAGACTGTTTCTCCATTAGAAGGAAGATTAGTTACTTGTTGAGCAAAATACATTTGAAGGAACTCTTGGGAAGAAGTAAAGACAAGATCAGTCAAAAGGCTTAAGATCATGAAGTCCTCCCCCAAAGAATAACATCTCCGCCCTCAAATGCTAAGGTCATTATTTTTTATATTTGATGGATCTGACATATGTGGAACTTCCTGTTCTGCAACTAAAAGACATGCAAAGAGTTCAAGATGGAGAAGGAAGATAAACTAAGAAATAATGTGTTCATGACCAACAAAAAAGATCTCTTTCAACGAAGATGACATGAAAGATGTACTAGACCCCCATCATGATGGTCTAGTCATAATATTATATGTACCAAACCACTTTGTTCGAAGGACCTTGATAGATGGTGGCAATGCAGTCAATATCATCCTATTAGAAACTCTCAACAAGATTAACATCCCAAATTCTAAGATAGTCTGAAGATCTTCGGTCCTAGTAGGATTCAACGGTGAAACCAAGAATACCATTGGAGAGATCAAACTGCCAATATACATAGATGGAGTTAACTCTATCCAATGTTCTTGTGTTGTTGATTCCTTGTCTTGCTATAATATTATCTTAGGACGCCATGTACGTTTTGACCATCACCCCCCTTCCGCTTGACCAATATTTTCCTCGGATGGCATAAATAACTCATCATGAATATTGCACTTCCGTATGAAAATTATGGACTATGAAACAAGAAACGACTATGTCTCTTTGCACTGAAAAAGGATAATGAGCCATTGGCTTTAGGATTGAGAATCTCACCTTCATACAAACATGCTTCTAGGAAAGTTCTTTCTATAACTTCTACCTTCCAACTAATCATAGGCTTCTTTTGTGCCATGTCTAGTATAATTTCAACAACAATTCAACACATAACAAAATTCAACACAAAAAAGAACTAGGAACACATTTTCAACAAATGAACACATAATTCAAACAGGTTAGAAATTATATTTTTGCACAAATCATCAAGATCAACAACAAATTTCAGAAAATGAACAAATAATCCAGCTATAGATAAACTATATTTCAAAAGTCAATAAAAAAGAACAAATCGGAACTATGAACACATTATCATCAACCAGGAACAAATTTTTAACAATATATTTCACCAAAAAAACACAAAATTAGCAAAATTCAACAACAAATTTCAGTTATAAATACACTTATTTCATAAATTAACAAAATCAACAACTTATATTTTAGAAATCAACCCATATATATATATATATATATATATATATATATATATATATATATATATATATATATATATAAAATCAACCAATTATAAATGAAGAATATTTAGGTTTAGAAGTTTTGCTTGCAAATTGAACCAAAACTAACCTCAAGTGAGGTTCTAATTTGGTGGAACAACAATATCAACAAAGTGAAACAATATAAAAAAAAAGAGAGAAAAAAGCAAGAGAAACACAAACTTATGGTGGAGACGGTCGTAGATGGCGATGGCCGGAAATGGCGATGGGGAGGAGGGTCGTTGGTGGCGCTGGTAGAGAGCGAGAACAGATGCAAGATGCAAGGGTAATGGGCTAGGGCGTTTTTTTAGATGAGCTTCCACATCTGATTTGGTAAGTGCTTTATTTCATATTAAGACAATAAATTAAAGGGTAAACAACATAGTATGAACCTACCTCTTATTAAAAAACATCGTAGCTAAAATGGTGTGGTGTTGAGAGTGACATGACATGATAGGGGTAATTCGAAGTTGATGCGGAATCCCTTGTCAGTAAAGTGGGAGTAGAATTCAGGGTATATTTGTGAATTTCTACCGCTTAAAATTTGGTGTGAAGAAGATGACCCATACCCACCAACTTGATTTCACTCCCCGATTAAAAGTAGAGGGGCCATTAGTTCCAAACTCAAAGTTTGAGGACTAGACTACAAAATAGAGGTTGAAGGACAAGAATTGAAGAAGATGGTAAGTTCAGGGGCAACAGTTTGTATTGTCAGAGCAACGGCAACTCTCCTCCCGAAGCTGATCTGAGAACATTCAGCACCTTTTTCTTATACGACAGAACGCTCACAGGCGCGCACACACACAAACACACATAGCAAATTAATTAGAATTCCGGAGTGAAATCAATCGCCATGGATTATGGACAGAGAACTCGTTAATCCTTCTAAGCTTCTTACCGAAATGCAGCAATCAAACGCGCAGAGAGAATTATATTTGTATATGCATACACATACACGCATGATTTTGTGGATTGAGAGGCTACATTGCCGTTTCTAGGGTTTCAATCACGATTTTTACAACAAAAAACATCATTGGTTGATACGAATGGCAATGTTCCGGAAATTGGTGTACAAAAAGCCGCCGGATGGACTTCTCGAGATTTCTGAAAGAGTCTATGGTAATTCATCTAACTGTTTTCTCCGTTTATGAATTCATAAATGTGTAGTTGGATAAATTAACATGATAGGTTTAGGTTTTCAGTTGCACGATACATTATCTTCATCTCTAAAGTCTAAACCTCGTCTTGTTTTGACAAATTCTCTGTTTCATCTACAGTCTTTGACTGCTGTTTCACCACTGATGCTTGGGATAAACAAAATTACAAAGGTTATATGGGAAACGTAGTAACTCAGCTCAAGGATCATTATCCCGATGCTTCAATCCTGGTTTTTAATTTCCGCGAGGGAGATACAACATCCCAGCTTGCTTCTGCTTTATCAAATTATGAAATGACAATAGTGGAATACCCTAGGCACCATGAAGGTTGCCCTTTGCTCCAAATGGAAGTAATCCACCATTTTCTAAGATCATGTGAAAGCTGGCTTTCACTTGGCCTTCAAAACGTCCTTCTAATGCATTGTGAGCGTGGTGGTTGGCCTGTTTTGGCTTTCATGTTGGCTGCACTTTTGATTTACAGAAAGCATTATTCAGGGGAATCCAAGACCCTGGACATGGTTTATAAACAAGCTCCTATTGAGCTTCTACACTTGTTTTCATCAATGAATCCTTTACCTTCTCAATTGAGATACTTACAGTATGTATCAAGGAGAAATGTTGCAACAGAATGGCCCCCATTAGACAGAGCACTCAGTTTGGATTGTGTTATAGTGAGAATGATTCCTGATGTTGATGGAAATGGTGGTTTTTGTCCTATATTCAGAATTTTTGGACAAGATCCTTACATGCCTGGTGATAAAACTACCAAACTTTTGTTCTTAACACAAAGAAGCAGTAGAACTGTTCGATATTACAAACAGGTATGATTTCTACTATTCTTCGGTTTAACACAAAAATATGACAGTTTTTGGAATAATATCTTCAGTGATCTTTTACTATTTGTCACAGGCAGAATGTGAACTTGTTATAATTGATATAGATTGTCACATTCAAGGTGATATTGTGCTGGAGTGTATAAGCTTACAAGATGATAAGGTGCATGAAAGTATAATATTTCGTGCTATGTTCAACACATCATTCATCAGATCAAATATTTTAATCCTTACTGGTGATGAAATTGACATACCTTGGGATGCTAAGTACCAATTCCCTAATGACTTCAAGGCTGAGGTATTTTTCTTCACACTTGATGATACCAATTTCCATTAGTACATGATTATAAGTATTTATTTTTATAATTTATACACACAGTTTCTTTTCTCTGAGATGAATGCTTCAGCTCCTGTAGTTTCAATGGATTCATTCTTTTTTGATGAGAAAGATGGTCTCCCAATAGAAGCATTTGCTAAAGTTCAAGAGATGTTTAGTAGTGCAGATTGGTTAGCTCCTAAAAATGATAATGCTGGATTTAATCGAGTCAACTCACAGTCAACTCTACTTCCAACCTCATCATCACATCCTCTTAACCGAGTCAACTCACAGTCAACTCTACTTCCGACAAATGAGATGCAAGTTTCTGGTTTCCCACCCACCATTCTGCCACCTGGCTTTCCATTAAAGGAAAGTGATACAAAAACTGGAAGTACTTCACAATCCATACCTTCTCCAGTAGCTCCTTCAACTCCTTTTAGGGAAAACAGAGACACTGGACATAAACCACCACATGCCACGTCATCACCACAGACAGAGAGTCCATCTTCAATGAATGAAAAGGGTACTGGAGCTGGACTTCCTGGAAACTTATCTCTGTCTTCAACATCATCACCACGTGCACCACCAGCTTCTCCGCCACCATCGCCGCCAACTCCACCTCAGCAAGAGAAGGTGGGTACACCAGGTGCACCCTCTACACCACCACCACGCTCTCCAACTTTGACAACTCCATCCTCTTCCACACCAGCATCACCTGTGAAAGATAAGTCAACAACACCAGCTGAGCCCTCTCCACCACCACCACCACCACCTCCTCCTCCTCCAACTGCACCTATGACAGAGAAGCCAGAAACAACAGCCGGACCCTCTACATCACCACCGCAACCTCCACCACCACCACCACCACCTCCTCCAACCGCTGCACCACCACCACCACCGCCACCAGCTCCTCCTACACCATCAGCGCCGCCTCCACCACCTCCACCAGCTCCTCCTACACCATCAGCGCCGCCTCCACCACCTCCACCAGCTCCTTCAAATGCACCACCACCTCCTCCACCACCTTTTGCAAAGGGAGGAGGTCCAGGTCCACCACCACCACCTCCTCCAGCACCTTCTGCTAACGGAGGCGGTGCACCACCACCACCACCACCAAGAGGACCCAATGCATCTGGAGCTCCAGCTCCCCCACCACCTCTAGGTAGGGGGCGTGGTTCATTACAAACAATGGCAAAAACTCAACAATTAAAGAAACTGAAGCCTTTACATTGGTTAAAACTCACAAGAGCAGTTCAAGGAAGCTTATGGGCTGAAACACAAAAGTCTGGTGAAGCTGTTAAGTAAGTTTTTCTCTCTTTAACTCCTACTAATTAAATTAACCTTTGATTTCTTCATATTCTTTCTCATTGCTCTTATGATTAATTTACTAATTAGGACACCAGAGATTGATATATCAGAACTTGAGAATCTTTTCTCAGCTGCAATTCCTCCCGACAAAAATGCTGCAAAATCAAAATCTGCTCCAATAGCTAATAAACCAGAAAAAGTTCAACTGGTAATATAGTAATTAATATACTATCTGTCATAGTTTAATATATATTTTTTTATATAGTTTTGACCTTTTTGACCTTGTTACAGATTGATCATAGGAGAGCATACAACTGTGAGATCATGCTTTCAAAGGTGAAGATACCTTTGCATGAACTAATGGTAAGCTGACCAAAGTTGTTAAAATATTTTTATGTTAGTTTATATAATTTTCATAATAAAAAAAAAATTTATTTATGAAAAAACATGGTAGGATTATGTACTTGCTCTAGATGAGTCAGCATTGGATGTTGATCAGGTGGATAACCTCATAAAGTTTTGTCCTACAAAAGAAGAGATGGAAGTGCTAAAGGTAATACATTATTGATTATACATCTGCTCTCTATTTATTTATTTAGTTAACTAGCTTTAAGGAGTTAATAGAATTTGTTATGCAAAAAAGCATCCTTTTCTTTCATAGTATGATTAACATGTTTTAATCTCAGAACTACAAAGGAGAAAAGGATAAATTGGGAAAATGTGAACAGTTCTTTTTGGAGCTAATGAAAGTTCCACGAACAGAATCTAAGCTCAGAGTTTTCTCTTTCAAGTTACAGTTTGGATCACAGGTAACATTTTCTTTCTATTTTTTTAGATCCTGGATTTTGATGTAATTAATACTCTCTGTGTTTTATTTATTTATTTATTTTTTTAGGCTAAAGATCTTAGAAAGAGCTTAAACTCAGTAAATACAGCTGTGGAACAGGCAAGTCATTTTCCTATTTTCATTAATCTACAAAGGAAAATCTACTGAAAAGTCCTTATGTTTAGGCCTCATAATCGATTTAGTCATTATTTTTTTTTATAGTCAATTTAGTCCAAGAAACTGGAAATTGTATTCATTTTGAAACCTTTTACCTGGTCAACAGGTCATCCAACTTTCAAAATTTATACTTTTGGCCCAGATTTTAAATTTTATTACAAACTTGGTCCAAAATTTACACTTTTGGCCTAGATTTCAAAATCTTGTTCAAAATTAAATCCTAAATTTGGTTTTTTTACATCTTTTTTTTCAAAATTTTGTTTCGAATATGTTTTTTTTTTCTTTTATAAAATCATGTTTATACAAAAAAACATATTCGAAACAAAATTTTGAAAAAAAAAAAGACTAAATTTAGGATGAATTTGCAACAAAATTTTGAACTCTAGGCCAAAAGTGTAAATTTTGGACCAAGTTTGTAATAAAATTTAAAATCTGGGCCAAAAGTGTAATTTTTAAAAGTTGGATGACTTGTTGACTGGGTAAAAGGTTTCAAAATGAATACAATTTTCGGTTTTTGGGACTTAATCGACTAAAAAAAAAGATAAGGACTAAATCGATTATGAGGCCTAAACATAAGGACTTTTCAGTAGATATTCCATATACAAATACACAACAATTTAATCTAATTAAACTTTTATCAGGTCAGAAGTTCCAGTAAGTTCAAGAGAGTAATGCAAACAATTCTCACACTTGGAAATGCTCTGAACCAAGGAACAGCAAGAGGTCAATATATTTTTTTATTTTTTATTTTATGTTTTTAAATATAATAATATTTTGTTGTAGTTGACTTTGACTTTGACTTTGACTTTGGTAGGTGCTGCTGTTGGGTTCAGATTGGATAGCCTTCTGAAGCTTACGGATACTCGTGCAAGGAATAAAAGAATGACACTCATGCATTATCTTTGTAAGGTATTAAAAACTTTTTTTTATAAAAATAATAAAATTTTAAAATAGGAAGCATATGATAGCAAAATTTTAATTAACTGTAGGTGCTTGTTGACAAACTACCTGAACTCCTTGATTTCTCCAAGGATCTTGACAGTTTGGAACCCGCATCAAAGGTGGTGATCACAATTAATCTTATTCAAATATTTAGAAATTTAAAAGATGTGTAAATGTAATTAAGAATTTATTATTTTTCAGGTACAATTAAAATATCTGGCAGAGGAAATGCAAGCTATTAGCAAAGGACTTGAGAAAGTTGTCCAGGAATTGTCAATGGCTGAAAATGATGGACCTGTCTCTGAAAAATTTCTCAAGGTTTTATTTTAACAATTCTTTTTTTTTTTTCTTAAAAAAAAAAAATAATAAAAAATGTAACTTCCATACATTGTTTTCGTTGTTTAGGCATTGAAGGAGTTTCTTTGTACAGCAGAAGGTGAAGCAAGATCCTTGGCCTCTCTCTACTCTTTAGTGGTATGTCTCGTTTGTGTAAAAGACGGAAATGCCCTCCACATCCTCATCATTATAAATACTATGTTTTGTTTTGTAGGGTAAAAATGTGGATGCATTAATTCTTTACTTTGGAGAGGATCCAGCTCGGTGTCCATATGAACATGGTAATTGTAAATTAACCACTAATTTACTTTTAAACTCTACTTTTTATATATAACGATTTTCTATTTCAGTTGTTTCAACTTTGAAGAACTTTGTGAGAACATTCAATCAAGCCCACGATGAAAACTGCAAGCAAATAGAGGCAGAAAAGAAGAAGGCCGAAAAGGAAGCCTTAGAAGAAAAATCCAAACCAAATGATTCCAAAACCTCAGATGAAATTACACCAAAACCAAATGATGAAAAATCCAAACCAAGTGATTCAAAAATCTCAGATGAAATAACACCAAAACCAAATGATGAAAAATCCAAACCAAGTGATGAAAATTCAAAAGCAATCGATTCAGAACAAACAAAAAACCCTCCTATTAAAACCAAATAATATTCATCTCCATTTTTCCCACTTTACTTAAATTATTTATACATCAGCATTCAGCCATGTAAAGTTGTATCATAGTTTGAGTATCACTCTTTCCGGGTCCACTAAGTTTACATCCATGGTTAGCTTTGGATTTTCTGATTTTTTCAAAATTCGCATGTTTTGTTACACAAGTCAAATTCATATACTTACGAATTTGAATTAAAGTTTCATGCAGAAAAGATGAATGGACAGAGGTTTTGTTTTTTTTTTCACTTGGGTGGCAGTTTTGTAAATATTTAAGAACATGGACATCGAGCGTAGAAGCTATATACACTGTAACGATGGGCGTGTTTCACTCATAGATAGATGCATTTTTACTTAATAAAGAGAAGAGACATTTTGTTTTGTTCATCCTCTAGTGTATACCAATTTTAGTCATTTTTTTTTTCAATTTGGACCCAGTTTTTTTGGGAGAGTGAAGTAAAAACATTGCGGCATGAATCTTGGACATGTATAACACATCGGGATTTTGTGTTAGGATGATGTTTTATTGATATTGAAAGTTGAGTAATATGTTATAATATCCGAATTTGGTTCACAATGTGATGCAAACAAAACTTATAAAAGCAATGTCTTAAGAAAGCTTTGTAGGGAAGATTTGCTTTGTACTTCAAATAAGAAGATGACAGGTCGTAAAGTCTTTTGGAGTAGGTCGGTGGTTGATCTTCCTATAGATCCTAAGTCCAAAGTTATCAAATAACGAAGGGGCATTACATAATGATTTTTATCATAATCGAAGACTCGTTAGAAAGTTGTCGTATCTCAATATTGCAAGAACTGTCATTACATATTTTGTTTATAGACTTGGTCTAATTTTAAGGCTAATCCTTGTGTTCCTACTCTATAACGTGCTGTTTATGTTCAATGATACATCTAATCTACACTAGATAAGGCTTATTCCTATCATCTCGTCAATTGTTGCAACTTAAAGTGGTTAGTGATTCGAATTCGATGATTTGGATTGGCCATGTTGTCCGAATACATGAAAATCAATCACTAGCCTTTGGATTTTTCATGGTGATTTATTAATTTTGATGAATTCCAAGAATACGAATGAAATTACACTTACTAAGTAATGGAATTCCAAGAATATGAATTAAATTACACGATGTCGAGCGCGGGATGGGAATAATGGGTTGGTACCGTAATAGGGGTGTTTGACAGGTTTTGAAAGATCTAGTATGTTCAAAAGTCATTATAGAATGATGTTGTTAATGACATATGATCCTATAGAGTCACACCTTATAACAAGTTACTAGTAATTGATTATTTATTATGATAATTTGATTATTAATAAATATAATAAACACTTGTATTTACTTGGAAAAATATTATTTTCTGAAAATAATATTTACCTACATATTGAGAATTATTGTTCTTAGGAAATAATAATAAAGAGAACAAAAAAAAAAAAAAAAACTAGCTATATACATAAGGAATGTATTTAAATGTTATGTACAACTTTTTAGGCACTTAGAGTAACCGTTTAGTTAGTATATAGCTAGTTACTTACTAGAAAGAGCAAAGCACAAAACATCATCATTTTCCCTTCTCTTAGTCATGGCTTTTGAGAGGTAAGGAAGGTGGTGTGTAAATTTCATGGTTTTTCTAGCCTCTCCCGTATCCTTCTTTTGTCTTGCAATTTGGTGCTAGAAGTATATTTGGTATATACTTCTAAGGCTAACATCCCAAAAACCCATAACCAAAAATTTTGTTTTTATATTAAATAAACATCAACCAAACGTGATAATCAAACCCATAAGAAAGTGATAGTGTATCAATAATCATCCAAAATACACCAGAGTCAATAAAGCGGAAAAATCATGGTGTGTGCGATGCGATCATCCCGAGCTCTTCCCTTCGAACCGGAAGTACCTGAAAAATAAACTGAAAACCATAAGCACAAAGCTTAGTGAGTTCCCCAAAATATCTCATACCATACATATCATGCATACATACATACATCGGGCCCCGCCCGATACATTCATCAGGCCCGCTTGGCATCGGGCCCCGCCCGACATCAGGACAATCACATACAACACATGAAAGAGTCACAAAGATAGCTAGCATAATATAACATAATCTAATAGGCCGACATTGTTGCCTTCAACCCGCAAGTACTGTGAGGAGACTCACCTCACGAAGCAGCTCAAAAGTCACTACGTCCTCGAAATCTCACAACAGGTGCTAAATGCCACCTAGATAATCACACAAGGCAAAACCTTAATCTACCTCTTAGGACATTAATAGTTAAGCAAAACCCACAAGTCAAAAGTCAACCCTCAAGATCAATGGTTAAAGTCAACAGTCAATGTTGACTCCAGCTGACCACCACGTCGTTGCCTTCCTTGGCCATGTCGTGGCTCATGTACTATCAAACAGTCGGAAAAATCCCAGCCGCTATGCCGTAGTAACCTAGGACCATGCCGTGGTTGCCGAGGTTTCAACAGCTTAATGCATTAAGCTGTTTTTTTTCGATTCCAAGAACCCCAAAGCTCAGATCTGGTCCAAAATGTGATCTTGAAGGATAATGATTCTAACTTTTCCAATAGGACCATCCAAAGGTCCCAAAAAGTCTTGATAATGCAAGAACTTAACCAATAAGCACTTATTTCATAAGGTCTGAAATCCATCCTTTCCAGAAATGATTCTAGCACCAAAACCAACCTAAAGGTTGGTGCTTTATAGAAATGCATGTCCAATGGATTTCTTGACCCCATATTAGCTCAAAATGAGGGTTTATGACGTAAATCTCATGCATGGCTTGAAGACCCAACCAAACTCCAAATCCAAGGCACAAATTATACCAAATGACCCAGAGATTCATAAAGTTGCAAACTTTATGAGATCCCACCATTCCAACAATCAAGAACAAGAAGTTTATGGGACAAAACTCAAGATCTAGCAACCTAGCATGATAAAAATCGAGTCTTGGACACTTATAAAGGTCCAAAAGAGTGCTAAGGTGAAGAATAGAGACTTGCTTGCTTGATCATGCTTCCTTCTTCCTTCTTTAGCTTCCAGGAACACCAAAACTAGCTCAATAATGAATGAAAAGGGATTAGGGTTTTCTTTAGGGTTTGAGGGGCTAATGGAGGTTGAGGATGAGCAAACCCTAGCATCCTCATTCCTTTAAATAGGGAGCAAACCCAGAAAATAGGGTTTTCACATCAGCCGTCCACCAAGCCGTGGCCAATACTGCCACGCCGTGATGGCTTAATAAAACATGCAATCCTTCTCGCCTCGCCACGCTGTGGTGGTGCCTCCACCACATCGTGGCAACCCTCAAAAAGATTATTCCAGTTACATAAAAAGTACCTTAAGATCCGGGCGTTACAACTCTCCCCCACTTGAATTAGACTTCGTCCTTGAAGTCCGCCACCTCAAACAGCTCGGGGTAATGCTCTCTCATCTTGTCCTCCGACTCCCACGTACATTCTGAACCCATTTGGTGCTGCCACTGCATGTTTACGAGATCTAAAACCTTATTCCGCAAAGTCTTCATCCTCCTGTCGAGGATCACCATAGGTCTCTCTATATAATTTAGGCGATCATCCACCTGAATGTCCTCCAATGGAACCACTACATAATCATCAACCAAACACTTCCGCAACTGAGAGACATGAAAAGTGCTATGAATCTGACTAAGCTCTGTTGGCAGATCCAAACGATACGCAACCCTGCCCACCTGGGCTAACACCCTGAAATGAACAATATACATGGGGCCCAGCTTGCCCCGCTTCCTGAATCGGATGAGACTTTTCCAAGGTGACACCTTCAGGAGCACCATGCCCCCAACCTGGAACTCCAAGTCTGACCGACGTCAATCTGTGTAACTCTTCTGTAGGCTCTGAGCCGTCTGAAGTCTGCTACGAACCTACTGAATCAATTACGTTGTCTTGAGTACCACCTCGGTCCTCCCCTTGACCCGCCGACCGACCTCACCCTAACATATCGGGGTTCTACACTTCCTCCCGTAGAGCATTTCGAAAGGAGGTCGATCAATGCTAGCATGATAACTATTGTTATATGAAAATTCTGCCAAAGGAAGATACGTATCCAACCACCGCCAAAATCCAAAATACATGATCGCTACATGTTCTCTAATGCCTGGATTGTCCGCACGCTCTGACCATCAATCTGTGGGTGGAAAGTCATGCTGAAATGCTGGCGCTTGCCCAACTCCTCATGGAATCTCTTCCAGAACCTGGAAGTAAAACGAACATCCCTATCAGAGACCATAGAAACCGGCACCCCATGCTATGCCACCACTTCCCGAAAGTAGATATCGGCCAACTTCTCCGTCAAAATGCTCTCCTAGATCAGAATAAAATGCCCGATCTTGGTCAATCGGTCCACGATGACCCATATCAAATCCACTCCGCACGCTGTCCGGGTTAATTTGGTGATAAAATCCATCGTATTCTCTTCCCATTTCCAAACGGGAATACCCAACGACTCCATTTTTCTGTGGGGTCGCTGATGCTCGGCCTTGAACTTCCTGCAAGTCAAGCACCTCTCCACATACCAGGCCACGTCTCGCTTTATGCATAGCCACCAATAGTCAATTCGGAGATCCCTATACATCTTTTTCGCTTCGGAATGGATAGAGAACCTCGACTTGTGTGCCTCTTCCATCAATACCTGGCGCATACCGCCCCAATATGGAACATACACCCTTCGATGAAGGTTCAATAACCTCCGATTATCATAATCAAAGGAAGCCACCTGACCTAACATGCGCTCACTCTTCCAGTGCTCTTCCTTCATAGCCTCGACCTGAGCCACTCAAATCGGCCACCACATTGGCCTTCCCCGGGTGATAAAGGATCTCACAATCATAATCCTTCACCACGTCCAACCACCTACGCTGCCTCATATTCAGATTCGGCTGATCCATCAGATACCTCAGGCTTTTGTGATCCGTGTAAATAGTACAACGGATCCAAAAGAGGTAATGT